TTGAGCGGCAGCGAGTGCTCGCGAACGCTTCTAATCTGGTTTAACTTGTTTACCGGTCCCTCGATAAAGGAGCAATGCAATTCGCTCGTTCCGCGAGCGAACGCGCGTGAGCGAATTTCACGTTCGGGCCTCCTTCTGCTCCTCCTCCTCCACAACCGACCGTCTGAAATCTGACTTGAAATTTATCGCGGCGGTAAATATAGAGGCGACCGACGGGTGGGTGGATGGGTGGGTGAAGGGAAAGGGGGAGAACGAGAGAGGGAGAGAGATTCCGGTCGCGGAGGGTATAAAGGAGGTAAGGCGGAGGGCAGTTTCGCGGCGTCGGCACAGGGCCATGAGGGTGAGGAGGAGAGGGACGAGGACAAAGAGAGGTTAAACCGCAACACGCTCGGCACTTGTAACGCCGGCCGGTTTTCGCCGAGGTTTTTCGAAGGCTCTTTGGGAGTCTTCGTCAGCCGGGACGCAGCTGGTGCTTCTGTGACTGCCGTCGCTTCGAAACCGCGTAAACCGCGACTACGACGACGGCAGCAGCGGCGGACGACGAAGAAGACGACTGCGAGACGGTGTCGGTGTCGCGCGCAGGATCCGTTTTAACGAGACTGCTCGAGGGGATTCATTGAGACGCCGGCTGCTTCTTCGACGCGGCCACGTGACTCCTCTCCATTCTTTCTCTCTCTTCTTTATAGCCCCGGAGTTTTATTATTCGCCTCTTACGCTCCCTGCCTCCGCCTCGCCGTCGTCGCCGCCGCCGCCGCCGCCCTTACCGTCGTCGACTAACCTTCATTTTCTTCTTCCCCGAATTCTCGGCATTATTCAGCGGGCGCACGTCCCTCATCGAGGATGCACGCACGTACTGACTACCTGCTACGTCGTCGTCGACGACGACGACGACGACGACAGCGACGTCGCCGGGGAATCGCTCGAAATCCGCGATAAAAACGTCTCGTCGTCGGAGCCGGCCGGCTGCCTGACTGCGCGAGCGCGCCTTGCTTTTTGCTCATGACTAGCTTTTTACTCAAGCTTTATCGGCCAATGTCGAGCATTGCTGCTTTTCGTGTCATCTCGGCCTTATAGAATAGACAATGGGGTTGCAAGCTACCCCGTGGAATTTTTAATCTCTCGCTTATTTCGTTGAGTTAAGATGGACGGCTTGCAGCCAGAAATTTGTTTCTCCCCCTCCCCCCCCCCAAAACTGTCATGTTTATAATAAAAGTTACTACAGCGTTGTCGATAAAAATCTTATACGCGCGTTGCCACCCTGTTTTATTATGATTATTTTCTGATTGGATCAAACGACTATAGATTGAACAAGATTAAGCTTACCCTCTTCTCTTCTTATTGTTCTGCGATCGCGCCATTTTGACAACAGACTCTCCGCGCGATCGACGGGTCGAGAGCATTTCTCGCGTAATCTCGAGGGAGGACAAGAGGCCCCCCCCCCTCCCTTCGTCTCTCTGTCCCCGCGGTCGCAGCCGCTCGGACCGCGTATCGCGTAATGCAAGCCAACGAAGTGTTAATCGACGTTGATACGAATTAACGTAATCACTGACGTGCGTCAATAATATATACCGGCGAAATCGGCGCTCACCAGCCGCGGCGCTGAGCGGAGAGCGAATTTTCGATCGCAATGCGAAAACCACGCGCGGATTTTATCTCGCCCTCTCCCCCTCGGGGAGGCGCGCGCGCGGGAGGCGTTGCAATATCTCGATTTAAAGCGCGAAACGTTTGTCGCGAAAACGCTCGCCGTTATAATAAAGTGCCGCGCGTCCGCGGCGCAACCACGCCCCGGAGATACGCGCTCGTTCCAATCGAAATTTTGATTACGTCCGCGTTACCGATTGCCCGGGCGCGCGCGCGTCGCATTATAAGCTTTAATCGCTTTAATTACTTATTGCATGTAATTAAGCGTTTATTGCGCCGGGCGCTGATGAGAGCCGATGAAAGCCAGCCGCGCTGACGCACATCGCCGCGTTCCATCCGTCCATCCATCCATCCGCCCATCCATCCATCCATCTGTCCGTCCGTCCGTCCATTCGCCCCACCGCCGCGGTAATAAAACTCGCTCGGACTCTCGCGCGCGATCCCATCGAATCGCAGGCAGACTAATCGCCGGCATTATTTTTTCCAGCGCGCGGCGCCGAAATCGCCGGGTTTATTGCGCGCGAAGCGTAAATATTTGTAGTGTGAGACGACGCGCTCGACGACGCGGCCCAGCCGATCACCTCCGGCAATTCGGCAGCGAGTTAGATGGGGATTTCGAGCTTTGGACTCTTTCGGCTGGGATTTCGCACGCTCGAGGTGAACGAAAATTCAGCCCGAGCGCCGAAGCGACGACACGCCGGCGCTCGGAGTCGCAAGAGCGAACGCTTTGCTCGGACTCGGGATGAATTTTTCATCCATAGGGAGGGAGGGTTTCAATCGGTGAGAGTTTATTTATTCAGAATGATGACTTTTAGAGCGGATCTCGCAGTCAGATTGGAACGAACTTGTTCCTGCGACA